TAACCTGGTCATTATTAAAGGACTAACAGCCCAGTCGTATATGACAGTGTTTCTTAAATGTCTGAAAGCAAAGCCTCCCTTCAGGAGAATAAAGCCAACCATGCTTCCTTCAGCCCTGCCACACGCTGTAGAAGGATTACTCAAAGTGAGGTCATTCAGAGTAGATTGTGGAGATCTTTGTAATATGATCATGCCTTTCCTTCCTTCCCCATTGATGAGCAGTGAAAAAGTCAACAACATTGCCATTGAAAGAATTGTCATTGGTATCTGAGTCTGAAAACTGACATTTATACCTACCCTTTGTTTCCTATCTTTTAACCAGTTACCAATCCATGAGAGCACCTTCCTTCTTATCCTGTGGCAGCTTACTTTGCGGAAAAGTCTTTGGTGAGGGACCTTGTCAAAGGCTTTCTGAAAATCTAAGTACACTATATTCACTGGATCCCCTTGGTCCACATGCTTGTTGACCCCCTCAAAGAATTCTAGTAGGTTGGTGAGGCATGATTTCCCTTTACTAAAACCATGTTGCCTCTTCCTCAACAAATTATATGTTATGCTATATGTCTGAAACTATAATAAAGAACAATATTGTCAACCAGTTTGCCCGGTACTGAAGTCAGGCTTACAGGCCTGTAATTGCCAGGATCACCTCTGGAGCCCTTTTTAAAAATTGGCGTCACATTAGCTATCCTCCAGTCATCTGGTACAGAAACTGATTTAAATGATAGGTTACAGACTACAGTTAGTAGTTCTGCAATTTCACATCTGATTTCCTTCAGAATTCTTGGGTGAATACTATCTGGGTCTGGTGACTTATTGCTGTTTAATTTATCAATTTGTTCCAAAACCTCCTCTAATGATATCTCAATCTGGGACAGTTCCTCAGATCTGTCACCTAAAAAGAATGGCTCAGGTTTGGGAATCTCCCTCACATACTCAGCCGTCAAGACTGATGCAAAGAATTCATTCACAATGGCCTTATCGTCCTTGAGTGCTCCTTTAGCACGTCAATCATCCAGTGGCCCCACTGGTTGTTTAGCAGGCTTCCTGCCTCTGATGTACTTAAACATTTTTTGCTATTACTTTTTGAGTCTTTGGATAACTGTTCCTCAAATTCTTTTTTGGCCTTCCTAATTGTATTTTTACACTTCATTTGCCAGTGTTTATGCTGCTTTCTATTTTCCTCACTAGGATTTAATGTCCACTTTTTAAAGGATGCCTTTTTGCCTCTCACTGCTTCTTTTACTTTGTTGTTTAGCCATTTATTTTGGCAAATAAATCAGAGAATCATGGTTACTTTGAAAGTGCATTTCTAGTGTATCTGTACTAAAATCCACACAATATCCACCTACGTCAGAAAACAGGCTGCAATGTTCAGGAATGTCTGCTCCACTCATTGGACACGCTATGGGTAAGATGGCGACTGGTCTTTGCGTGGGAATGGGGAGAGGAGGAACATTCCTCCTGCCAAAGAGCCAGCCCCAGCACTGATCCTTCTGTGCATTCTTCACCTGAAATAACCCCAACAGGAGATGGGCAGAAAGCAGGCCCATAGCTGTCCCCGCTCTTGCTCCACACCATGGGGGAGGAGACACAACAGTCTATGTTCTTACCCTGTACATTGGGAAGCTCCAGGTGAAACTATGCCTTCCTGAGTCACAATTGCTCTCCAAACTGTCCCTGGGGCAGTCTGCCACCTCATTACCTTCAGCATAGGGCAAACACAGCAAGGTGTGAGAGATGTGTAAAACATCCGTTACTGAACATACACAGCATTCACAGGAAGTCACATGGGTAAGTGAGCTTCGCACACTGGCCATGTTTGGCCTATTACCTACTCTGTAACTTAGGGAAAAAAAGAGTGTTCAGTGTTCTCCATTTCACTGATCAGAAATAAACAATGTTCTAGGCATCATGTCAGAGAACTGCTAAAGGCTCTTCTATCATTTGATTTCTACCTCTTATTTGCACCGAAGTTTAGTTGAATGCAGAGACTCTTTTCACTTCTAAGGATCCTGTAAAGCTGGGGAAAGGAAATTGTGGGAGCTTTCTGATTACTTCTGAGAAAAGAACAAGGATTATATGGATAGGACTATAAATAATCAGAGATATCAAAATGACCTGATGGGACAGTGAGATTTATTTAATAGTTGATCTGAACATTCTTGTGAGATAAACAGTGGAATACAGCCTTCGTGCTCAATGTCATCCCCTTTTTTATTGAGTCAGGAGATGTTTAAGGAAATTTATGGAGCTGTTTGAAGACAGAATTTTTAGTAAATGATATAGAAAAACAGATTACAATGCACGAGAGACACAGGAAACACAATACAGTCCAAAAGACAAAAGGGGATTTGCAATGGCTTTGCCTATGAAGTCAGAGGATAAAGGTAGAAAGGTGTAATTTTTGTGATTTACCCACTTATTTTTCTTATCTATATTCTGTCTGTCCTTAAAAAAAAATTAAAGAGGTTTGGAAACTCCACTGTATGGACTCTCTTCACCCTGAGCAGCAAGTTCTGTGTGTGTGTGAGGTGGTGGGGGGGGGGGGGGAAGGGGGAAGGCAGAGAGAGAGAGAGAGAGATCGATCTCCTGAAGTTGAAATATCCTGGCCCAACATAGAACAAAGGCTGCATTCACCCAGGCTTTTGGTTACTCAAGAGTCCATTTGGACACATTGTTCTGGACAGAGATCTATAGTGAATTCTTGGTCCTATTGATGTCAATGGTACTTTTGCCCTTGACATCAGTGGAACCAGGATTTCAGATCTAACCTTTTGCTTCTGAATTCTCAGCCCAGATTATTACAGGGAATTAACAGGAGAGGGTTCACTACATGGGTAAAGCTCCAGTACTCTTAGATGATGTGATTTCACTGCTTGCAGACCCTCTCTATTTAACCCTCATATTGGACCAAACTCACTCAACTATTTCCATATAGGGGTCTTGGAGACCACTAGTAAGTTAAAATTGGCGGCTGCGGCGGGGGGGGGGGGAACGACACACACAAGAGATGCATTTAAAACAGACTTTATTGTAACCAGTGAACTATAAAACTACGAACAAGTCAAAACTTTCCTACGTTCAGAAGCACACCACACAGTACTTGAGTTGGGGTCTAACCAACCCCATGATCAAACACATTTTATAAAAAGCTACACACTCTTCCTGTGTCAGGGCCTAACTGACCCCATGTTTAGACAATGAAAATAGGTAGCAACAGCAACAGCCACAACATAAAAGGTGCAAACACAGCCAAGTGGCAGTAAATGGCCCACTACTTTGAACAAACGGAGCAAATAGGGGATGTATGATCTGAACACACCAAGATTTTACACTTTGCACATTTTTGATGTGTTTTTCTGTCTTGTTCTCTGGAACAGATGTAACACCTTCTCCCTTTCCTAGGATCTGGATCAGTACACAGCACACTAGACGCTGCTTCCCTAGAAGCCTGAAGCAAGTCTGCAATGTTCCTTCCCTGTACCAGTGATTTCCCCATTTCTGTACCCAGGTCCATGAGAAACATCCATCTCTTACTCAGAAATGTATTATGCTGGACGCAATTCAACAATCCAAACAATCCATGCATCCAGACGTGCAACGGACACCTGCAATGCAACAATGAGTCTTTGCCCCAGCCACAGCATCTGTCAAGTGTGGGCTTGCCATAAAATGTATCTGATGATTGAGGCTTCCCCGGAAACTCTTCTTAGTAAGGGTAGGCTTCCCAGAAAATCAGCTTGACAGTGTTATCTTCAAGAAACTCAATTTGCTGGTCAATTGTGATGATACATGAGACCAATGTTATCTGGTTTCTCACAGACCCCCAAGACCCTTTTGGTGAGTTTTTTTTTTTTTGAAAAACAAAAACTACTGAAACAATGCTGATAAAAACAATGCTGAAAGAAGATTCGTATAATCATATCATAACTGCTTCCTTAAAATAAAAACAAACAATCTGATGCTGGAATAGCTACATAATTAATTTGGGGTCTAACTGACCCCAATACCTTTTGAGTGACTTTTTTCGCTACACTAAAATCACAATGGGTATTCAGACAAAAAACAATGCTAACAAGTTGTCCTCATCATAGTTGGAGAATACTTAATGAAAGAAGAGGTTTGCCTATCATGTTTCATTTGATTTTTTGTACATGGTTGGGGTCCAAGACCTTGGAAATATAATGTTATATAATACTGTCATTCCCCATTGACTAACACTGAACTGTCTAACTCACACAAAAACCACAACAGGTAGGATGATCAAGCCAATGCAGAGAGATTAACCTCCTCCTAGTTTGAGAATACTTAATATATGAAGAGGCACAGATTTGGCACAAAAACATTTATTTCCATTGTTGTACGCATTACGGTCAGACCCCAAAACACTAGGAGAGTTTAATAAATCTGTCCTGGGTCCCTCAACTTCATAGCACCGCCCTCCTCCCCTTCAGATTTACTCTTGATACCATAATTAAAGATGCAGCTCACAATTGAACAAATGGAGTATGATTTACATTTGAAACTCACATAAGCTTGACTATACTTTTTAAATCCTTTCTTGGAAGCAAAATAACATATTTATGCAGAAATCTGTTTCAAAGCTTCCTCAAAGCTTCTGTTTGAGGCCGCATCAGTGATAATTCATCTCTAAAAGACAGCTGAAATATGCACTGCTTTGAATTGTTTTAATATTGTGCACAAGGGACAGGGAAGAGAATTTAGTGCCTTATGCTGCATGGTTCTAAGTATCAGATGGATAACAAAACAGAAAACATAAAATCATTTAGAACCCTTTTGGAACCATATGCTCAACTTCACAGGCAATAATCAACTATAATACTGTATATTTCAAAGCACAGAACGGGAGAGATCATCTGTAACTCATTATAAATACAGTTATAAAATCAAGCCATACCAAAGTCTTATTGCCTACTTATGGCACAGCTTTAGGCATGCATGCATATATGTACATAGAGACATGAGCTTCCCTTTACATAGATCCAGTGGCTCTTTGAGCTCTGGTCAAGTGAAAAATTCTCTGTTCTTATCAGTTTAATATCTGATATGTCCTTTATTTGATAATTCAAACAGTCGCAGAAACTTGCAGGTAAATAATAGAGTTCTTAAAAGGCTCTGCTCTGAGTTTTAAAGTACTTTTGGCAGGTTTAGCAAGTGCTAAAGCCTCACAAACCCTAGTGTTAGAAAAGTAATTGAGGGAAATTATTCAGACTTTAATAAAACATTTTTTCTGAGTAAGCAGGAGCAATGAAAAATCCTGTTTATATATTTCCTTTGTAGGACAGATCTCCTGGGGTTAGCTCTTGACAAGCAGACATTTCTCTACATCTCTCTCTCTTTTCATGAGGCCCTTTATACCCTTCCAGAACCTCATTCACACCTTCTGCTTGCTTTCTGGGTCACATTTCAGTTCTCACAGCATCAATAGACCACTGATTCTCTTTCTGTAGCTTTTTTTTTTTTACCAGCTATTTCTTCCTGGCCTCCCGTCTGCTCTTCTCATTGCTTCTTCTACATGTCTTCTCTCCTTCCATTCCATTTCCTGCTGCTTTCAGGACCTCTACTTATCTCCCACCTTCTCTAATACCTCTACTACAGTATCTCTCCCACTTTTGCTGTTTTCTATAGGCAATCTGTCTCAGTAAACTTAAATTACACCGTCAGAGAGGTCTGGTGACGCTGTTTAGAACCCTTTTAGGAACCTTTAAAAAGGATAATTGTGTAGTGTTGCCAACTTTAGTGATTTTATCGTAAGTTTCATGATACTTGATGTTTTTCAGAAAGCCCCAACTCCTGGGGTAATGTGATTAGGTCTGACTCTCAGCTTCCTTTTAAAAAAATAAAAATTCTAGTCCCTCATGGCCAGGGGGCCAATGTGACCCAAGTGTACCCCAAGATTCAAAACCCAGAAAAAGCATACTGATTTTTTAGAAAAAGTCATGATTTTTAAGCCATCTCAGGACTTTTGAGGACCTCACTCATGATTTTTGAATGCTTGGGCTGATCATATTGCATGTAGACCAACATCTGCTGCTTCTTCTTGGTTATGGGCAGAAACACGGATAAATATGACAGAGACACGAAGGAAGATGAGAAATTTGAGATCAGCTTGATTCATAAAAGTACTATTAGACTGGCAATTGCTTTGATGCCAGGAGTTAGATGTTATGTTTAAGTGAAATCCATTTTAATATTGTTAAATGTTTGATCATTTATAATGATTTAAAAGGTTTAAATTCCACATTGCCGTATCTTCCTTAGTGGGCAGGGGGAGTGTATAAGAAGTCATGGGATTTATGGCCCAGGTTTGAATGGATATCAAATGTTGTTGGTTCATCTTGTTCTTGGTCTACAGAATAGTATTAGTGTTCTTATTTATAGTGCTCATTTAACTAGTACTATTCCAGCAGTAATGAGGAAAATACAGTTGATATGAATTCTACTGATCATCTAAATACTCAATGGCTGGTACGGCTAGATCTGGCATTTCTTTTTCATGTGATCCAGAGCAGGGTTAAGTTTTTCATGCTCTTGGCATACCTCAAGATGGTTGCAAAAGGCAGGCTCGGCCTCAGTCTCCCCAGTTCCTCCAAGTAATTTTTCTTTTTCAGCTGTTTCCTCAGTAATAGAGAACTAAGCAAACTCTAATTCAGGGGTCGGCAACGTTTGACATATGGCTCGCCAGGGTAAGCACCCTGGCGGGTCGGGCCAGTTTATTTACCTGCTGACGTGGCAGATTCGGCTGATCGCGGCCCCCACCGGCCGCGGTTCGCTGTCCCGGGCCAATGGGGGCAGCGGGAAGCGGCGCGGGCGAGGGATGTGATGGCCGCGGCTTCCCTCTGCCCCAATTGGCCCAGTGGGGGCCACGATCAGCCGAACCTGCTGTGTCATCAGGTAAATAAACTGGCCCGGCCCGCTAGGTTGCTTACCCTGACAAGCCGCGTGCCAAACGTTGCCGACCCCGGTCTAATTCCTTAGATTACCCTGCCTGCTTGAAGCTGCACACTTGTCAAGATAATATTTTCTTTCCTATATTAAAATCACCAAAAACCGTCCATAGTACTCAAAAATCAGGTCTAACTAATAGTTAATATAACATTATCCACACCTTCTTATTCTTCTGCACAGGCATTTAGGCATATATGGCTAGGGTTTGACCCTTTATAGGTTTCGATTCAGCATAATCTGATACTTATGAAATACTCCATCTGGTATTTGTTGTGTGCAAACACAAATTCAGAGGAAGTTATTAAAGCAATATATTATCTATCAGCTTTCAGATATGCATGAGAATGCATAGGAATGAGGACACATACACAACATGCATTATGAAGCAAAACCAAGAACAAGGGATAAATATTTGTTATTCAATCTGTTATGTGGTTTGTATTGTTTTGTAAGTAGTGTCTTCTTTTTAACTTTATTTAATTGTATTATTTCAGGTCTGGTCCGCACACAAAAGTTGTACCAGAAGCAGTTCAATGTCTAGTGAGAACGCATTTATGTTTTCTTCCAGGTCATTGATAAACATACTAGATAGCGTAAGGGGACCCCAATAGAAACACACTCTGTGATCATTCCCTGTTTAAAGTTGCATTTTAGCCAGTTTTGAATCCATTTAACGAGTGCCACGTAGATTTTTGTATCATTCTAGATTTTTAATCAAAATGTCATGCGGTACCAAATCAAATGCCTTAGCGAAGCCTAAGTATATTACATCAACACTATTACCTTTATCAACCAAAAGTGTAAGTTCATCAAAAATTATATCAATTTAGTTTGAGAAGATCAATTTCCCATAAACCTATGTTGATTGGTGTTAATTATATTACCATTATTTAATTCGTTAGTTAAGTCAAGTCCCATATCAGCCTTTCTATTATTTTGCCCGGGATTGATGTCAGGTAGAAAGGCCTTTAATTACCCACCTCTTTCCATAGACCCTTTTAAAATATTGGCACAACATTAGCTTTTGTCCAGCCCTTTGCTATTTCCCTAGTGTTCCAAGACTTATTGAAAAAACAACATTAATAGTCCAGAGAGTTCCTTAACACTCTTGGATGCCAGTGATCTGGACCTATTGATTTAAAAATGTCTAGGCTTAGTAGCTGCTGTCAAACACCCTCCTGAGTTACTGTTGGAATGGAAAGTATTTCATCATCATATGATATACATACATCTTCTGTGTTTTGCTCAGACACAGAACAGAAATATGTATTGAACACTTCCGCTTTTTCTGCATTATGATTGACAGTTCTCCCAGGTCTATCTAATAATGGACCAATATACAGGATTCCTTTTGTTCCTAATATCCTTTAATAACTCATTCTTATTAATTCTGTTGGCCATAGATTTCTCCTTGACTTCTTTTGTCTCTCTTATCAATTTCCTGCAATTCCCAATTTCTAATTTATATTAATTCCTATCAAATTTCCCTTTTAGTCATTTAGAATCATAGAATCATAGACATTAAGGTGAGAAGGGACCATTATGATCATCTAGTCTGACCTCCTGCACAATGCAGGCCACAGAATCTCACCCACCCACTCCTGTATCAAACCTGTGTCTGAGCCATTGAAGTCCTCAAGGTTTAAAGACTTCAAGGTGCAGAGAATCTTCCAGCAAGTGACCCGTGCCCCACGCTGCAGAGGAAGGCAAAAAAAACCCAGGGCTTCTGCCAATCTGCCCTGGAGGAGAATTCCTTCCCAACCCCAAATATGGCGATCAGCTAAACCCTGAGCATGTGGGCAAGGCCCACCAGCCAGACACCCAGGAAAGAATTCTCTGTAGTAACTCAGATCCCACACCATCTAACATTCCATCACAAGCCATTGGGCATATTTACCGCTAGTAGTCAAAGACGAATTAATTGCCAAAATTAGGCTATCCCATTATATCATCCCCTCCATAAATGTATCAAGCTTAGTCTTGTTATATACTGTTTTTAATGTTTTTATAGCTGCTTTCACTTCCCTTCTAAGCCAGATTTATTAAAAGTGTAGCCTTCTTTCTTGATTGTGACTTTCTGGGAATCTAGTAAAATGTTCCAAAACAATTAGCCATTATCATTCACATTTTTCTGTTGAAATAATTTCTTCCAAATGATTTGGCTCATAATTGTTTTGAGCTTTGAGAAATGGGCCCTTTTAAAGCACCAAGCATATAGACTACTGGTTTGGACTTTATTCTGTTTGCACATTACAAATGTAACCAAGGCATGACCCCTTGCACCTAAGCAACCACTAATGTTTAGTTCTGTGATTAATTCCTCTTTATCTGTCAATAGGAGTTCTAATATAGAATTCCCCTGTGTTGGATACAATCCTTTAAGTTAGAAAATTATCATCTATAATTTTTAGAAATTCTGTGGATGTTTTAGAACAGGAAGCATGAGACTTGTAGCATACGTCACTCAGAATGAAGTCTCCCATGATGACGCAGCTTTCCCCCACCCCCTACATATTATAGATAGGTACTTCAAGAGCCAGGCATCCTAGTCCCTAGTGTGATTTGGTGGTCTGTGGCTGTCACTAACTAGTACAGATATTGTGTTTTCTCTGTTAGAACATTGATCCATAAGCATTCATCATCATTTGTTCCCGAGTTGCCAATGACTCAGAAACAGGCAGTGCCATTTCTGAGATGGAGTGCCACTCCCCCTCCCCTTTGCCCACTCAATTCTTCCTAAATAGGTTAGAACCATTGATTTTAACAATCCAATCATGCGACTCTTCCCACCAGGCTTCAGTTGTACCACCTAGCTTGAATTTATGTTAATAAATGAGCAATTCCAACTCCTCTTATTTACTAGCATTGGTATATGGGCAATTAAAGATTTTCTTCTCTTCACCTCCCTTAGTGGTTTGATTAATTTCATTCTCGACATCTCAATTTTGTACTAAATGAATGCTTGTTTGCTCCCCCTTTTCACCCTCCCCTTTTGCTATTAGTTGCCTGCCTTCCTGACTTGTTTAGCCAGCCTGGAATGGGGCTTGTAAGGCCACCTTGCTGAGAGAAGCAGAGAACCTCCATCGACTATTGGTATGAGCCTGTGCTGTGATGGTCGTACATTCTGAGAAGTGATCCAGGCCAATGGGGGCGGTGGGAAGCAGTGGGCCGAGGGATGTGCTGGCCGCTGCTTCCAGCCACCCGCATTGGCCTGGAGC